TTCCTTTTACCCGCTTAGCCCCACCATTTAGGTCCAGAGTACAAATCTCAGCCTCTGCAATATGAATCATGTATTTCAAAAATACTGGGTTTATATACAAATCAAACAGACCACATTACACCTTAAAATAAATTATAACATTTGTACAAGATCTAGCTAAAAGTGACTGTGAATGTGGGAGACTGTATTTAATTGACGGAGTATAACTTAAGAATGGTAAGTCATATAATAATAGTCTATAAGTCAAAATAGAGCTTATAGTAAGAGCAATATGAATATACATAATTTGGTTACTTAACAATTATACAATAAAAATCTATGTATAGTACTATTCCATAAATAGATCCCAACAGTTACCATTCATTATTGTCGTCGGGACATAACAAAGATAAGATTGGAATCCGTAATATAATTGTAATGAAATTTCACTTAAAAATCTAGAAAGGAATAGTATTTACTTTTAAAAATTGTACTGGTTTATCGTTCATGATTTTTCCTATTATTTATTATAAGTAATCAGTTTTACTTATATGGATATTTTACAGAAGAAAAGTTATTTCGTTCTTTGATGTTTCTCAATTCAGTTCTTTGTTAAGTTTCTTATCGTCAACATGACACGAGACTAAAGGTCCTGAGTTCGAATCCCGCGTGAGGGATCGTGGATTTGCACTGCCGAAGAGTCACAAAATAGGACGAAACAGTCCTCCAGTGCTTCCAGGTTTCCAACGGTGGTCTAGCATCAATCGATTCATGATCTCAATCAAAAACTTAACAATCCCTACAACTCCTGTACTGGTACACGTTATTTTTGTTAGTAAGTGGGTGGAAAGAGGTCAAGTGCAAAAATGTAAGCAGTCATTTATTTAGATAAACCCAAAACAACAATAAAGGCAGCATAATATGAGTTCATTGTAGTTCATGGATTATGCTTAGCTGCTTTAAATCGTATTTGTGCTGAAATCTGTTCTTATATTAAACAACCGACATCGGTAGCTGAAGAAATTTGAGTAACAATGATTACATATATAAGAATAAACACATGTAAGATAATTTGAAGGTGGATATAGCAAAATATGAACGGATGAAGCTATAATTCATTTGTATCGGCCGTTTGAATCTTCCCATTGATGTGTAGGACTGTAATTGATCAGTCTTTAATTAGCATACATACATCCTGTATGGATTGTCTCGATATTGTTTAAATTTACAAGTATTAAAAGCAGAGATAGATGGTGGCTAGCAGTGGAACCCAGGATATGAGTTTCGTCTTATTTGAGTCTTAGCAGCTAAACTTACCTCTAATCCCGTACCTATCGCTCCAAACGCCATCACGTTATCCATTTAGCTTTGAATTTTACGATAAACCTAAACTGTAGAATCCAGGCAAATCCTGCTGACTAGTTTCACATATCACGAGACACACGTTCTGGATTCCATCACTAGCCACCATTAATCTCTACTTATAATGCTTGTAAGACTATAATTTATCTAGAATCGCTAGCATAGATAAATGTATAGGTTTAAGAACTGAGTAAGTAAAAATTTATTGTAAAGCGGACCAAATAACATTCAAATAAGCTATGACTATTTAACAAAATACAAATAATAATGATAAGTTAACATGACTTTAATTTGAACTGTGAATTTACCAAGACAGTGATAAATTGACAACAATTTCTTTCTGAATACATAAATTTGGTGTATGTCCTTGGGCACATACATTGGGAATTGATTGATGATGTTCAATGTACTAATAAAAGAAGATCTATCGTGTTTTATTTGTTTCAGAGAACAATTCATTCCATACGTGTTGATTAGCCTTGCTACTGAATACGAAATATTCATTGAAGTATTTCTTCAATAATTTTTTAACACAATAGTTTTGTCTTTCTAGCATAGATACAAGAAGAGAACTTTCTCATTAACTAAACCATACTTGATGTGTTTATTCAGTTTAACATACTTATGAAAGACTTTCTGCAGAATAACATTTTTATATAGCCCCTTTTTTTAATGACTGCAAATTCATCTTCTAATATCTCATTGGATCACATTTTACGAGTACGATCAAAATGGGTTCGTATAGTTCACATTTACTAATTAAAAACTGTTCTAGTTTAGATAAATGCCACTCTATATGCTTTCATAATGGATATGTTTTTATAATCTCTTTTTTGGGTTCATTGAACTTTGAGATAAATGAAGTGGAATTCTATTTCGTTCCCATATTAAATAGTTAATTCAATTTCAATAAGTGTTTAATTAAGAAGATCAAGTAAATATGTGGAATATTTCACTGTTACAGACAATAAACTTATCATCAGTATATCTGTATTAAAATAATGTTTTATGAAAATAGTGTTTCAGCTTTGCTTGATTAAAGTTATCCATAAAAATATCAAACAAAATTCAATTCAAGGGGCTATCAGTGGCAACTCCATCAATTTAATGATTCATCATATTATTGAAGTTTTAGCCTACACAAGTTGAAGCTATTTATTACTGAATGACATTACACTCTTTAATTGAGTGTATATTAAATATTTAAGGTACACAAAGGAAAAAACAAGATCCTCAAATACAACATGGAGAACACCAACCCAATCAAAATTGATGGAAAAACTTTGGGAAGCATCATCGATGAAAAAAGGGATCGGATGCGGACGTAAAGACGAGGATTGGTGGAACAAAGACATCATTCCTACAATTTAAGAACATATAGAACTCGAAACAACTTTCAACCAATATCAAATTCAGAATCTTTAGTAAGAACGTCAAGACAGTTAGTTCCACTATATGGAGCTGAGACGTGGAGAACTACCACAACCATAATCAGAAATGTACAAGTATTTATAAATAGATGTCTACGTGAGATACTCAATATCCATTGGCCAGATACAATCAGGGACAGCATACTGTGGGAGAAAACAAACCAGCTTTCAGCTGAAGGAGAAATTAGGAGAAGGCTTTGTAAGTGGATAGGACATACATTACGTAAATCATCAAACTGCATCAAGAAGCAAGCGCTAACCTGGAATCGTGAAGGAAAACTGAAAAGAGGAAGTCCGAAGAACATAGTTCGTCGGAGATTGCAAGCACACCTGAAAAGGATGAGTAGCAACTGGAAAGAACTGGAAAGGATTTCCCAGGACAGGGTTGGATGGAGAATACCGGTGGGTGGCCTATGTTCTTAGACGAGGGGTAACAAGCGCAAGTAAGTTTTATTAAATATCTTTTGTACGCTATTTTCATTCATTTCTAAATATTGTTTAGTACTAGATGAACTAATTTTGAAATTATTTCTTGTCAGTTAGAACTTAGATTATTATTATTGGTTTTACTCAGTATTCCATTTTGGTACAATATAGAATTCTCAGCACAAGGTATTTCAACAAGTTTCTTTTGCAAAAAAGACAAAACAACAAAAAAGAAAGGAAAAAGTTGAGAAAAATTTGGAAAAATAAAAAAATCTGAAACTGTAGAACTTCCCAAATTAGAGACATGTTTACGAATACAGGTTATTGACTAGGTTAACTCTAACAACCTGTTCGTCACAGAGTATATTTGCCAAGTGATGTATTATAAAACTTTTATACTTTTGCTTGCGTAAATGGATCTTAGTGTAATTACGTCTCGTTCTACCAGAAGATATACAAGAAGAAAGTTATGAATAAAGGGGATGGTCAGTATCTGATAAACTAACACCTGCCAGGAGTTTGCATGATTTTAGATGTCTATCCACAACCACATTAATTATGACCTCGAAAAATTCGTCGCTCACCTTACTAACTGCCTTCAGCACTCTTCTCAATCAAGCAAAGTCTTTTCTCAAAAGCCCGGGAAAGAATAATGGAGAACAGTAAAGAATAATAGGTAATATGCAGGAGTTGACAAATTGTAAGACTAGATAACTAGTAATCCCAAGAGCATATAGTCTCTTTATATGGTAAGTCAAACGTAAAACTTCCCTCGATAACAATGAAACATGAGAAGACCAAGAGAGATCAGAAGAAAAAGTAACACCAAGATAATTGACCTTCGACACTGTGTTTATCAAAGAGTTTCCAGTGGCACAAGCATTATGGGATCTCAAAATGGTGTTTAGATATCGTTCATGTCTCATGCTAAAGTTAACAGCTTGACATTTAGACGAATTAAGTATGAGACCATTAACAACAGACCAACAATCAATACGAGTCCCACAATAGAACGTTCAGTGCTTCCAGGTTTTCCATAATGATCTAACTTCAACTGACTCATGATCTCAACCATTGACAATATACATTGTTAACAGATGCTCTATATTTAATTTGTCACAGATTCATTATTGTCTAGAATAAGAAAATAGGTTATTGTTTAATATTTAAATTTTTCATTCTAATTACCTAATTTAAAGCTATACAAATAACTTTACTAAGTGGAATGTAACATTATAATCGTTTGTTTTTTGTCGTTGTTTTTTTCTTCAGAAAATACAATAAATAACCTTCTTGAAAGTGAACTACCTTCAACTAATTCTAGACAACTGTCTTTTAAATATCAAAATTTTTTTTAAAAACTAGATTACGAAACTTCAACCTTACCCTTTTCTTAAATTCCATTGTTTCGATGATTTCACTCTCATTTTTGTTGTTGTTGTTGTTGTTGTTGTTGCTGTTGTTGTTGTTAGTAACATCATCAATATCCCAGTCCAGTTAACTTACTAATAAATACTTTTACAGACATGATCGATTACTTTTTATTGATTTGGTCGGAACTTTGTAAAACAAATATAAAGAAATGGGATATTGGTCTAATGACCAAATGGATGACTGGACATATTTGTATTAGCACACAATCTAACACAATAAATGTGTATAATTCTATAATGAATAAGGAAAATTAATTTAAGTGAACCAATCAAAAGTTATTATTAAATGAGGCAGGGCTGAAATAGAAATCGTAACAAATAATATTACACAGTAATATTATTAGAAAGTAATTTCATAATTCTAATATACAAAATTTATAAAATGATAATCAAACAATATTTAGTTGTAATATATATAGTAGAGAAGTTTTGGAAGCACATATTAATCATTATATAACAAAATAGAATTCAATTTAAATAGAGAATTTCCATATTTATATTGTGTAAAGTATACGAAGTACTTCTATAATATTTATTAAAACTATAATTATTTCGGTAAGTCTTGGATAACTAATTTTGATAAGGTTACATTTGAGATTGATTTGTTAAAAATAACTTTTTTAAGGTGTTCAATGTTTACTAGTAAAAAGTAGTAGAAAAGAAATATTTCCTTTTCTGTTGATTATTTACATTTGAAAGTTTCTTCTTTGAAAGATATCACTAATGTTCTTATAGACAGTAATATATATTTCTCTTTGATTGAATAAGTGATATCATCCTGATTACTTGAATTGATACATCTGATATGGGATTCAATAGTGTAATCTAATTTAAAGTATTTAGTTTATGCTATATATTTCGATAGAGCAATAAGAAGATGGAGTTGATTTGGAAGAAAATGTGATGTATTGTTCAAAATGTATAATGCAAATAGATCACATTTTTCAGATTAACTTCATCTTCTTATTGTTCTATCGAAATTTGTAACTTAATTATTAAAAATTGAAGTGTTATGGTTATGCAATCACTGTCATGCAAGATAATATCTAAACTGATGTTTAAATAACTATTAGTGAAGAATAAATTTCATACGATAATTTGATTATATGAGTTATTCATAACACACAAACTGTAAAGAAAGAGACTAATCAATTGTAGTCCTAAATAACAATCGGAAGATAAAAGTAAAACAACATCAAGTGAATTTCAACTTCACCACATTGCACAAGCAGGTGGCTATCAGGATTCAGTAGCTGAGTGGATAACGCTATGGTGTTTGAAGTGAATAGTACTGGGTTCGATTCTCGTAGTGAGCATCAACTCTGAGATGCAGGTACATTCAGTTGACGAGTTGGGAATAGGACTAAACGTACGTTCTGGATTCCACTGCTATCCACTATCCATCTTTGCTTATAGAATAACAATGTTTAAGAGCTGTTCAACTGAAAATAACATTTGAAAATTTATACGGAACTCATGTAACTCATTTGATAGATTACGATCGAATGACAATGAAATCTTAAATTTTAGTTAAAAATTTAATACATTAACTGTCTATTAGTATTTGTTTAATTTTGTTTAATTGTTACTTTTGGATAATTCAAACTTTTACCAATCAAGATGTAACCTATATTGACAATAATTGATTGTTTCTATGGCTGTCTTGTAACCATATTTGTAACTTATTTATTTATGATAATTGTCAAATATTTAACCCATAAGTCAATTCTTTCTGGAGGGGGGATCTATAGATCTCTAATTTTAAGTTGCTTCTTTTCCAACAAAGCCAGTACTTTCACGAGAAAATTCTATTTCGATTTAATTGGCCAACCTAATAAGGAATGTCTCAAAGAATGATATAGATAAATGATTACGAAAGCATATGTTGTTGATAATGCTTTAAATGTGTAGGCAGATAACATATTACGCATTGGATTATGATTACGTACTTAAGTGTTTCCATCGATAACATGGTTCAGTATTGATCACAATGATGCAAGTGTAGTCACCCTTTGTTTTCACCTCAATCTTATTCAATATTACTTTATAATTCTGAATCCTATCGGTTAAATTTCAGTCACCTAGCAGAAAATTTCAAATAACAGCTTTTCTCAAGATTAGATGGTGGTTGGTGGTAGTCAACAGGAAACCCCGAACCCGGGTTTCGTGCTACTTGGCACTCGTCATCAAGGTGTACCTGTGACCTTGAGGGAACTGGTGCCCCCTTACGGATTCGATCCCGCGTCACCCAACTTTAAAATCAGAGACCCGGGCCCCGATCGACCTCCTGTAGGACAGAGATGTAATCACAATTGATTGATCACCAGTCTAGACTAGTGGTCACATTGCAACTTGGTCGATAGCATTCCACCTGCACTAATAAGGACTTGACACTCATGACACTGACCATCACCCAATGATCAATCAATTGTGAACAGCTTTTTTCGTAAGATGCTATAAAGCACATTTGTAAATATGACTGATCTAGGCAATAACTTCCCGTAAACAAATACATTTATGAGTATTTTGTTAATTAATATATCTTGAATTACGAACTACCGAACCAAATTCCTGCCACTTACAATCTTGAACAACTGAACAAAACACCGAAATATGTGAAAAGCTTCAACTTTCAAGTTTCCTTCATATAAATAAAACTAGTTATTTTCTAAGGTTGTTAGCAATATCGAAAAATGAATATGCTTTTAAGAAAGAAAAAGAAATACATAACTTGGTAATTAACAAATCCTTTAATCAATATAGTAAGGGTAGGTAGAAACATTTAGTTTCTAGATTTTATATTTAATGAGTCATTTATGAAAACACCAGTTGGTTACATATAATTTAATGAAAATGTTGATACTTTGTAAAGAATTTGTGAAATCAATATTGATTTCACCAAATTGTAATTTATCTTTCCGTACTTGAAATTTATACACAGGTAGAGAAGATTATTAAATAAATGATAAGAATTACTAATGTACATTGAAATAGTAGACAAATATGCAACATAATTTTCAGTGATTCATTAGATTTCACTAAGTTTAATAGCAAAAAAATAAATGATCTATAGATTATATGAATCATTGAAAAAGAAAACAACATTTGAATGAATGTATAATAAGCGTGTTGTGGTCGATATTCAATATCATCCTTAAACATCGTATACAGTTCGTCCTGATAACCGTCACTAGATAATGCCCCAACTGTGTATAAATCAGAAATCGAATACAAAATGTTGATTAAGTTTATTAATGAACCATGAACAAATCACCAAAATTGTAGGTACGCTAAGCAATGAACAGGATTAAAACTTATATGCATATACATAGTGAATCATCGAATCAATTAAGCGACTAACATTAAATCTAGCAGAATGAATATAATCGGAGGGGGTAAGCAATGCCCAAGCATATATATTCATACAAGTGCAACAATAATAATGAAGATACAATGGTATAGATAAATTGTTATTGTAAGTTAACAAAAGAGTTTAACCAAATTAGATGTGAACAAACTCAATTGAACATAAACTGTTATAAGCGTCAAAGCTAGAAGGGTTTTTAAACCAGGTAAACATTTCTTTTATTAATGAAAGATTATCCAAGGTCTATTTAATAATCAGAGAGGGGTTTTACGGAGATTGCAGTAATTTAATTATTGAATTCATAAGTCAATCGAAGCTAGACCACCATAGAAAACCTGAAAGCACTAAACGGCCATTTCACCCTAGTATGGGACTCCTTAGCAGTGTGCATCCACGATCCTGCCCCGCGAGATTCGAACCCAGGATCTATCAGTCTCGCGTGCGAACGCTTAACCTTTAAACCATTGAGCTGGCGTCCAATAGTGTTAATATTCAACTACAACCAATTCAGTAACTTAATAAAACTTTCTTGCTATATATGTGCAATATTTTACACAGATTCACAAAATTCATTTCAAAAGATATAATTATATAAAGAGCAACTGTTCAAGTGCACTTTAACATACATTTTTACTTTACAAATTTATCCAAATGTCTGGTTTTGTATAAATAAGGTGAAAAAAAATCTGTGTACATCAATCACTACATATATGCTAACATGTTCATAGCATATTACTATATGCAATCGCGTTTAATAATGTTAAAATTTGATTGATAACATTTCATCTTATGGAAAAGTGAACATGATAATGATCGATAACTATTTTATGATCCGATTCAATAATAATAATAATAATCGATCATTTTCATATTTTGTGATAAATAGTATGTGTAAACACTTCGCTTATACGGATATCAATAATTCGAAGGATAGCATGGGCATATTAATGGTTGAGAATTACTTACAGCCTATACCATAAAAAGAAATTTCCTGGAAAAACTTGGAATATATGTTAAGTTGTTGATAATAGTTCTGTTATCTTGTGGATGACTACTGTTTTGAAGATATTAAAACCGAATTTCGTTATGTTATCTGTGTATTTTTCTAACATTATTCTTTGCACCAAAAATCCATAAAGGATGGTGAATTGTACCTTTGATTTCAGTGCCATCAATAGACAACGGCATATTAAATGTTCTCTGAATAAGTTTTCAAGCTAGTATATTTCAATTTAGTCATAAAGATAGCCAAGTTTGAACAGTCAGTCACTCAACAACGTAGAACTTCGTACGTACGTACATTAGTTCGAGTTGCCATATCACAGTATCACAGAGAAACACTTGTCGATTCAAATCCCATAGTGGTAGAGGTAGTAAAAGTATAAGCAGTAGTCGGAAACATTAGGGTTTGAAGATGTTATTTAAGGATTACAATACAGTTAAACAAATTTCGAAAGAGAAAACAGAAAGGGACATGAAGAGTTCAGAAGATTAGAATTTGAGAGAACACAAAAAGTGGATGCACCTGCACCATTGCAAACGATTTTGAGCCTTCTCATTCAAGGTCTCTAACCATCAGTTGCTATCGTCTCGCAGATCCAACCAGGTAGTTTACACCTACCAACATGGCTCAGTTCACTTGTCAGTGACATATGAACAGTGTTTAGTTAGATATTGAAAAACATTGTTGTGTTGATGGAGTTGAACATAGGTAGACAAGATAATTTACGTACGCTTGTTCTCTGAAAATCATCAATTCACAAATTTCATTTCAAGTATTTTAACTTACATTTGCTTGTCTTCAAGCAAACCTTAAGGGATGTAAAACGATAAAGTTAATAAACGTTTATCAAAGGATTATTTACATCTCAATGATTTCACAATGAATTAATGATCAATTTATTTAATTATTTATATTTCAAGTGATTAAGTCATAGCCTGACTGACTGTGACATCATCTCTTTCACCTATTCTGTTCCAATATAAATTGAATTTGTGTACTTGATGAAGGCAGTTTCGTTCATCTATAAAATTCTTTAGATTTCTTTCATTTAATTATCTGCTCATGTGGCCAAAGCCATTGTGAATACTTACTAATGCCTGTTACCCCTCGTCTAGGAGCATAAGTCGTCCACCAGTATTCTCCATCTACTTGTCCTCCACGCTGCTTTCCAGTTCCTATTCATCC